TTTTTTTTTTTTTTTTTTTTTTTTTTTTTTTTTCTTTTTTTTTCTTTTTTTTTCTTTTTTTTTCTTTTTTTTTTTTTTTAACAATAATAAGTAAACAAAATAATATAGCTATTTTCAAATTCTTAAATATAATAGAATGAAACAAAAAGACAAGGAAAAAAAAAATGTTACTAATTTCTAGTTTAATTTCTATATTGCAATTTGCATAAATTTTAATAATTTCTCCATAAGTATATATATATATGTATTAATATAAAAGTATATGTAATTAATTACTACTTTTTATATATGCGTTGCATCTATTTTATAAAAAAAATTGTACAAAAGGTACAACAAATCAAATAATAAAATAAATATAAAATTAAGATAAATAAAAATTATAAAATGTGAAGTAATATATACAAATATATAAATATATACCAAAAAAAAAAAAAAAAAAAGAAAAAAAAAAAAAATTAAATATTGTGTATAAACAAAATTACTAGACTTCTAATATATTATATATACAAATTTATATTTATATAAATATTTTCATATATATACATTATAATTCCATATAAAATTTGTACTGTTATATTGTTCTTTAATAATATATATAAAAAGATTCGTTTGTATATACAAATAAATAATTCATTTTTTTTTCCAATTTTAAATAATTTTTACATAAATATTTTTAAGTGGTAAATTCTTAAACTATTGTACTTTATAAATACTTCTAGTGTTACTCCTCTGTGATACATTAAAACATAAATCTTTCAAAAAAGTTTTATATTTTTTATAATTTTTATTATTTATTCATTTATAAATTTTTTCATTAAATTGTTCATTAACTATACATCATTTTATGTTAAAGATTTTAAACAAAATTTTAATTCTAAAAAAAAAAAAAATTTAATGTAAAATTATATATATATATATTACATAATTATTTAATTTCTGCATTAAAAAAATGAAAAATAGAAAAGTTAAAAAAAAAAAAAAATGGCGTTAATATTTTTTATAACTTTTAAAAATTACATACTTCTATTAATTAATAAAACAAAAATTGTTTAAAGTTATATTTTTAAAAAAAAAAAAATTCCCTCTTTTATAGTAAAAATCAAAACATCATATACAGAAATGAAAAAAAAAAAAAAAAAAAAAATTAAGATATATGTACTAATTTTTTTTAATATTCTTTCAGATAAAATAAGGTTAAGTCTTCATATAAAATTATATGTTAATGCACTAATTTAGTTCAAAGATTTATATAAAGGGAAAATATTTATATCTTTATTTTTCATGTTTTCAACAGATTTATTTGGAAATTTGTGATTTTTTTATACAATTAAACGATTAATTTTTTTTTTTTTTTTTCTATTTGTGTGAAGTTATATTAACTTTTTTTTTTTTTAATAAAATGTAATTATATAAAAGTATATGGAACATTATGTATGTAGAATTAATAATTCGTATCTTTTAAATTATAAAATGTAATAAAAAAGTTACTAATTATAATATCTATAATTATTATAAATTATATAAAAAAGGAAATAAAATATTCTTTATACTTATTTCATTTTGAAATGGTAACATTAATGAAAATTTATTACTAAACCATCTTATTTCATCATAATATACTATTTAATAGACTATATTTTTTGTTAATTTTTTTTTTTTTTTTTATATATATTTCACTGATTAGATAAAAAAAAATATATATATATATATATATATATAATTTTACTTAAATATTTTTATCTTTCTAATATAGCAAAAAAATTATATATCTTTAAGATATTATATATATATTTTTTTTTATCGTAAAAATATGAAAGAAATAAATATTTTTTTTATAATTTGATACATACATATTAACTAAATATCTTCTATTTTATTCAGTAATCAACATATGAAACAATTTCAAATAATAGATTATTTAAAAAAACGAAATGCTAATTTAATGATGTGATATTTTTAACTATATATGTTTGTATTTTATTTTTAGTGAGTAATTTAAATAAATATATATATGCTATAGAAATATTTTTCCAGTATCAGTTTGAATTGTGATGTTGATAACTTTAGTAATAAAACAATTTTCAAAATATTTAATTATTTTTAATTAACAAAAAAAAAAAAAAAAAAAAAAAAAAAAAAAAAAAAAAAAAAATGAAAAATAATGTAATAACAATATTTCTAGTAGTCTAATTTTTCCGCATGAACAAGATCTCCCTTATTGTAATTGTAGTAATGATCTAAAATAAGTATACACATGTAAGAAATAATAAATAAATATATGTAACTTTCTTTTTAAATAAAGAAGAAAAAAAATATGAAATGTTACTATCAGGTGTAATAGATCCTCCCACTGGTATATTTACAATCTTTAAAAAAGAAAAAAGTTAATATATCATATAAATTTTATAATGTTATAAGATTTTATTGTGAATAAAAAATATATTTTTTCAATTTTTGAAAAATTACCATTTTTTTTTTTTTTTTGTTTTCTTTTTTTTGGTTTGAAGAACTATCTACATATTTCCCTAAATGAAGTAATTATTTTTATTTGAATAGGAAAAAAAAAATATATATGCATTATGTTTTTTTAAAATTTACCTGCAATAAAAAAACCTAATTTACTTATTCTATTAATAGGGGGTTCTGTTTTAAAAGTGGAATAAAAAAAAAAATTTTACAATTGATTAAATTAGAAAAAACTAGATTATATTAATAATAGAATAGCATATGCATCTTTATGAAAAATAGTAAAATAAATAAAAATCTATTTTTACGAGAACAAAGAACTGCCTTTTCATTAAGTTTGCTGCTACTACCTAACTTTTTATTATAATTCTTTTATATTTAATTAAAAATATAAAATAATACTTTTTTATATAAGTTTGTATAAATATAATTTATTTTTTTTTTTTTTTAATTTTATTTTTAATATATTACGAAAATGATGAATTTACAATTAGAAATTTTATTACATCTATGTTAAAAAGTATAGAAAAAAAAATTTTTATATAGAATATAGTTAGTAAATTTAACATATGCTTATTCATTTAATTTTTTTTTTTTTTTTTTTTTTTTACTCTTCTGCCACTTCCTTTGGTGTAATAAAATTAGTAATTTTAATTAAAACATTTTTCTCATCGCATTCCTAGTAAAAAATGAAAAAACTATTCATATCTATGTACTTATATTTTTCTTTCTTTTTTTTTTTTTCTATTAAATAAAACCTACCCCTGTCTTATTTAGATCAATAACATTATAGTTTTTTATTTGATCTATAGTAAGACAAGTATTATTAAAGTATTTTAAATAGGAAGGTTATTTTTGTAATAATTTAAATAAGACCTTTTATATGATTATCCTTGATAGCAGTAATCTATTTATAAAAAATTTACATAATATCAAAAAAAAAAAAAAAAATTCTTAATATATTTGTATAACATTTAAGAATGATAACTTTTATAAATAGCAATTCTAAATACCCAATATTTTCTTGGCCGAGAAAAAATCCAACTATCTCCTTATAAAAAGATAAAATTAAATTAATAATTATATTAAAAAAAAGAAAAAAACGTAAATAGAAAAATAAATAATTAGAAGAAAATTATGTATATTTAATAAACTATGAATATTATTTACAGGTTTAGTTTACATTTTTTTTTTTTTTTTCTATTTAAAAAACCTGAGCAAATCCAATTTGCTCCTGTATTTTTTAATGGTTCATCATTTTCATAAAAAATAGAATTTCTTAATTTCCTTTTAGGAGAATAAGAAATGAAATCACAAGTTTTTTTTGATACACAAATATCTAATACTTTACTTAGATTAAATAATTTATCCTATAAATTTTTTTTTTTATTTAGTACTATTATAAATATGTTATCAACACCATTTTTTTTTTTTTTTTTATAAGAATAAATTTTCTTACAGTAGTTTGTGCTAAAATTAAATTATCCTTTTCACAATACTGTAAAATAATTTTATATAAAAGAATATATTTTTTTTTTTTATAATAATAAAATATAATATAAATTTTGTATAGAAGTTAAAAATTGCAATAGATTAAATCTAAATTTTTTTTATTTATTTTTATTAATTCTTCAGTACTTTTTGTGAATTTTTTAAGAAAAGAAAATTTTGCATGTATTTTTTTATTTCTTCTTCAAGTATATTTTTATTTAAATCTATATTCCATACAAATTCTTTAAAAGAAAAATCATTATATATTTTAATTCATGTATTTTTTTTTTTTTATGGTAAAATTATATGTATTTTTTTTTTTTTTTTATTTATAAATAGGATATGTATTATATTTTTTTTTTGAAAAAATAATAAAAATGATTATATAATTATTTTTCAAAGGATATTTTAACAATATAGTTGCATAAAAATAATACAAAAATATTTTAGCACATTTTATATTTTCATCTTACCAATAATAGTAGTAAAAATTATACCAAATAAAAAAATTTTTTTCATTTTGAAAAATCAATTTAAAATAAAATGAGAAAACAAAAAAAAAAAAAAAAGAATATTTACACTACAGTAATATATAATAACAACAAATAAATAATGAAATAATTTTTTATCACTTTAAAAAAATAAAAAGTAAATATAATTTATAGACTATTTAATATTATACATGTATTAGAAAAGAAATGATACAAAAAAAAAAAAAAAAAAAAAAAAAAAAAAGTGTATCTACACAAAATTAAAAAGTACAAAATAATTCCACAACACTTCTTTAAATTTTTATTCTCCTCTATTAATGAAAATTAAAAAATAATATTATATATCTTTTTCATAAATACATTTATATTTTAAATTTAAAAAATTTATATAAAAAATAACAATCCAATTAACAATAAATAATTTAAAATATATATATATATATATAAATTTTAAGAAAAAATAATTAGTTTAGTTAGACTTTTACTCTTTTAATAATTAATGAAGGACAACTTATTTTTTAATATTATATAAATAAAAATTTTTTTAAACTTTTCAAAAGACTAATATTTTTATTTAAAAGAATTCAATTTTTTGGAGCTACTTTTTTTTTTTTATAAAGAATAAAATGTTACAAAAAAAATCATGATTTCACTTTATTAAATATCTATTATCTTTTTATAATAAACCTTTTTTATTTTTGAAAGCTATATTTTATTACAAAATATAAAACAATCTATTAACATTTTACTAATTCACTTAACGAAAAATTATACATATACCTATTTAAATATTACTATTTATATAAAAAAAAAAAAAATAAAAATAAACCCTATAGATATGTAAATATTATAGGAATAATTTTTTATGATTTTTTAAAAAAAGACGTTTAAAAAAAATACCATAATAAAGAATTAGGATATAGAAGATTAACATGTTTATTATTTTAATAAATAATTAATAATAATATATTGTTACAAAATTAATAATAAAATTAAGAAATTATAATTTTTTTTTAAGCACATTAATATTAAGATAATCCTATTCATTCTGTATAAATAATTACGAAAGAAAATAAAACATATGTTAATTATTTTAATCAATTTATTTTTTCTTCGTTATTTATTTTTATTATTAATTTTTACTCTTTTTTATACAATTTACTTAATATAAAAAAACGTCGATAAGTAAAATATATAGATTCTCTCAAAAGTTAAAAAAGAACTTTTAAAGAATAATTTTACCTTTTTCATATTTATATATTTATAACAGGTATATCTAAAATATATTTATTTTATAAAAATATTAGTTGTAAATTATTTTAATAAATAAATATACATGTTTTATTCGTTATATATTTTTAGTGGATAAGAAAATAATATAAAAATCAAAGTAATTTTTCTAATAAAAATAAAAAAAAAAAAAATTAAAAAAATACATAATTCTATATTAAGAAGCGAAAAAGAAAAGAATAACAAACCATTTAATTTTATTTTTTTTTTTTATTCCTTTTTTTTTTTTTTTTACTTAATAAAATATGATTGCACATGAGGCTTTAATATTTTATCTTTCAAATTCACTAATATATTCAATGTACATACATTTATTCAACAAAAAAAAAGATACAATTATTTTAAATTAAAAAAAAAAAAAAAAAAAAANAAATAATTACAAACATATATACAAGATATAACATTTAAAAAAAAAAAATCTAAAAAAAAAAAAAAAAAAAAAAAAAAAAAAAAAAAATGAAAGGAAAACTTAGAAAAACTTGAAGAATGAATTTGGTAATAAATGAAAGCATAAAAAGGAGCATGTAATAAAAAAAAATTAAAAAAAAAAATATATATTAAAATAATTACATACATATATACAAGATATAACATTTAAAAAAAATATATCTAAAAATAAAAAAAAAAAAAAAAAAAAAAAAAAAAAAAAAAAAAAAAAAAAAAAAAAAAAAAAAAAAAAAAAAAAACATCAATAAATTGATAAAAATATATAATTTAAAAAAAAAAAAAACATTTATTTTATATAGTTATTTGTTGAAAAAAAAAGAAAAAAGAAAAAAAAAAGAAAAAGATTAAGAGAAAAAGAAATAAGGATGAGCTAAAAATTAAATATAAACATATATTTAAAATATTTATTTTTTTTTTAAAAAATACAAATACACATATCTATTTATATAATTAATGTAAAAAATACAGATTACATATAAAACAGTTGAAAAGTATTACATAAACATATGAAAAATAAAAATAATTATTAAAAAGATTTATTTATAAAAAAACAAAAGATTATTTTAAGATTAAAAATTTATTTAATAATATATTTTAAAAGGAATCATTTTTAAATACATATATAAAAGTATTTATAAGTATATATATATATATATATATTATATATATATATTATATATATATTATATATATATATATTATATATATTATATATATATATATATATATAGAAAAAATAATTATTTTAAGAAAAAGTATATATATATATACATATATATATATATATATTGTTAATGCTAAAAATGGAAAATGACAAAAGATATAATCAAAAACAAAATAATAATGATGAAAATGAATTTCCGAATTCCAAGGTATTGCTAATATCAGTAAAAAGGACAAGAAGATTTTTAGAAAGAACGGCAAGAGAATTACTAGCTGGTGGAACAAGATACATCATTTTAAGTGGACTAGGGGATGCTTTACCTTTATGTGTGCAGTTGCAATCTTCATTACAATCAAAAAATGCAGCCGTTGTAGTAAAAATTGAAACATCCTATAGCTACTTTAATTCTAATTATTCATATACACCAGGTTTAAAAATATATATGGAGAAACATCCTGATTTTAAAGGATCAAGAATATCACCAGGTTACGTAAGTTTTCATGAAAAAACAGATACATTTACTCCTATTTATGATGAAAATCCAAATGAATATATTTGCTCATTAAATGCTGGTGATAATAACTTATATGTTGGTGGAGATGGTATTAATGGAGCTTTTTTTGAATTGTTATCCTCTCATAATCAATCTGTTGATAAATATGAATCTTTATTTAAAGTAATAAAAAAAAAAAAAAAAAAAAAAAAAAAAAACTGTACTCATTTGTATACATATGTATGTACACAAGAATAAGTTTTTTTTTTTTTTATACACAAATATATTTTATTCCTAATGATATTTTACTCTTTGTATATTTAAATGTGTTTACATAGGGATATTTTTTTTCTTTTTTTTTTTTTTTTTTTTGAAGGAATTGTTAAACAAAGCAGTAAAAGAAAATGGAGAAAAGACTGATGAAGAAATTAAATCTGTTTTATATGATAATGTAGACAAAAAATATCCTGATGTCAAATTAGCGTTATGTAGGATTCGAAACTGCTTAAAAAAAGGAAATGATTACACAACTGGATCAGTTTTTATTGTTACTTTTAAAAAAAATTTTCCATATAAAAAGGAGAAAAATATGGGAATGGTTTATGTAGTGGGTCCTAAAGGAAAGAATTGTAACTCAGTAGAAGAATTTTTAGATGCAGTTCAAGAAACAGCAGAAAATTTAATGACAGCATTATGTGATTATAATGGGTTAGTAAAGAGAGAAGAAATAAAACATGTAAGAATGAATACATGTAGAATATGTTTATTTTCAGGAAATATATATAAACATCCTAATGCATCTAAACTAGATGTGGCAAAATCTATTTTAAATGGTTTAGCTGTTGGATATAGACATGGCCCATCTCCTAGATTAAATTTTGCATATGATGAAAATGTTTTTAAGGATGCGTGGATAGAAACAACAGGATTACAAGTTTTTAATCATAATGATTAAAAAAAAAGAGAATTACTTTTATTTTTTTATTCCTAAACATTATTTAGTAAGGTATTGTTTATGTCCTATGTATTTTTATGTTATTTATTTTTACATGTTTGTAAATAGAAAAAAAAAAAAAAAAAAAAAAAAAAAATAGAAAAGGAAAGATAGGTATTGAAATTTAAGTGATAGAATGAAAAGATCTTCAGTAAAAATAAAATATAAATATAAATATACATATTCATTATTAAAAAGACTCATTATTATATTACAATGCACATTATGAAGTAGAGTAAATATATTTCCAATTTACAAAAGAAAAATATATATTTCAGAATTTATTGCATTTTTTTTTATATTTTTATCATATTTTTCTCCATTTTATTCTTTCATTTTCTTATATTCTTTTTTTTTTTTTTTTTTTTTTTTTTCCACTTTTACCTTTTTCTTTTTTCCTTTTCTTCTTTTTTATTTAACGTATATACAGATACAATAGTGCTTAAATTATATATTTTTAATATATTTTTATAAATAACTCTTCTATTATATATACTAATTTTCTTGTTTCTATTACCTTCCTTATTTTACACTAATTATATATATATAACATTATACTTTTTTATTATTTTTAATAAAAAATAAAGAAATAAAGATTATATGTAAAAAATAAAATGAAATATTAAAGAATTGCAAAGAACAAATTAAAGTATTAAGAAATAGAAGAAAATAAGAAAAAAAATAATTATATACAAAAATACTATTTCTTATATTTATTTGTTCAGTTATTATAATTGTTTTATAAAAAAAAACAATTCATACTTTTTATATTCTTTTGGTTAATTTTTTTTCCCATTGATTAGTTTATACTTAAAGTTATATCATAAAAAAAATAAAATACATTTTTTTTATTTAATATATTTAGCTATTTTTTTAATATATTCATGTGTTTTTCTTATTTTTATTTTATTATAAAAAAAAAAAAAATATATATATTAATAAGTAAAAAAGAGAATATTTAGTATATATAAAACATATATAAAATTATTGTAAAACTTTATGTCTTCATAACAAAAAAAAAAAAAAAAAAAAAAAAAAAATTATTAATATATTTATATTAAAAAGAATTCAATAAAATAAACATTATGTTTAATTCCTGTATGTAAAAAATTTTAACATGTTTTTTATTCTATTTCTCTTTTTTTTCTTCTTTTATTGTATTATTGTTTGTAGTATTATTGTCTTCTTTAAAAGCTAAATAAGCATATAAAAAGGTTAAAAATAAAATGTAGAAAATAACAAAATATAAACTATAGAGTAATGAATCATTTTTCGATAATTTAAAGAAAATCTTGAAGAAGTAATTATATAGTACTATTAAAATTACAGGAGATAATATAATTAATAATACAAAAATAAAAAATTTTTTTAAAACTTTGAAATTCTCCTTATAATATAAAATGTCATTTAATCCAAAATTTTCTGCTTTTTTATTTTTCTTATCTTTTATTTTTTCTTTATTTCCATCTGTATCCCTCTCTAAGTTATAATCTTTCAGTCCTAAATTAATTTCTTCTTTCATTATTCTTGTTTATAAAAAGAAGGAAAAAAGAAATATATATATAAATTGTAAAAAGTTTTGAATAATTTATAAAATAATATAAATAGTTCCTTAAAAAAAAAAAAAATGCAAAAAAAAAAAAAAGCATGTAAAATATAAGAAGGAATGATGATATAATTTTAATATAATAGAAATATTATTTCATTGAGTTATACCATTAACGAATTTTAAAATAAATATTAAATTAAAAATTTAATTTTTTGTATCAATTTTAAATTAATAAATTATTAAATAAACATATGTTTATAAAAATATGAATTCAATTTCTTTTTTCTTTGAAGACAACAATTCTACTTTCCTCTTTATTACAACAAAAGAAAAATATATATATAAATATATATATATATATATATATATATATATATATATATATATCAAATAAAAATATCCATAAATATATTTTAATTCATAAATTTTTTTTTCCTTCTTTTTTCCCTTTTTTTAATTTTTATCTAATTAAAATTATAAAATATAATTATAATTAGAAAAAAAAAGGAAAATTTTAAACAATCTGAGCATTCTCTTTCATATTATGAAATGCATAATATATTTTTTTATTTTTACTATATTATGTATATAGATAAAACCTTTTTATTTTATTTTATTTTATTTTAATTTTTTTTAATTTTTTTTTTTTTTAAATATGAAAAACAACTATTTAATTAATAAAATAATTAAGGTATGCATGAATTAAAATTCTCATTTTTCTTTTATAATAAAATCTTCATTTTATAGAAATATAATTTCATTTATATTTAACTGGAGAATAAAGATGAAAAATATTAATGAAAATAAAGCTATTAATTACACTTATTTTTTTTGTGCAATGATAAATTCTCAAGAAAAAATTTACATGAGTAAAGAGGAATCATATATAAAGACAAATGCAGATAATTTAAAAGAATTCATATTTGATAGCATTAAATACAAAATTAAAAAATAAAAGTCAAAAAATTTGATTAATTCATATATATAGATATATTTTTATTTTCAATTATTTTTATATGCTTACAGTAAAATATTATGGTTTCTTATGGTTCCATAATATTTTCAAAATAATTATTTTATTTTATTTTTCTTATTTAAAATTATAATAAATAACAATCTATACTCACATACATTTTATAAATATTATTGATTTTCCTTTTTTTTATGTATTTATAGTAAGTATTAAATAAAAAAAAAAAAATTATAGTTTGTTATGCAATCACTAGATATTTTTTGAACGTTATAGGATTTAATGTATTCTTTCTATTTTAAATATTTTATTAATTTCATATTTATTATTTTTATTTTTGTTTTTGTAACATACTTACCTATAAAAATTTTTTATATAATAAAAAATTGAATTATATAGAAAAAAATAATGGTTTATGTTTAAAATGTAAATTATGTAGATAATAATTTTTTCCCCTTTAAAAAAAATAAATATGTATTTTCTTTTCATTTTTAGTTATTTTTTTTTTTTTTCCTTATTATACTCATTAAAAAAGTAGTATAAAAAAAAAAATGTAAAATATAAACAATTATAATTAATATTTAGCTTTATTTCTTTTTTTTTAATAAATAAATAAATAATTAAAAAAAAAAGAAAAAACACAGGATAAGGTGTAGACATTCTAAAAGGAAGAAAAACTGTTTTGTCTAAGTGTAGTTAGTTGAACATTATTTTTTTTATATCAATATTATTTATTTGTCTTGTGCCATTTATATTTATATGTTTATACCTCTTATTTCAACTCCTATTTTGTCATTAATAGAATAATTTTTTAAAAATATATTTATATATACATTTTATAATTTTTTAATATACTAACTGTACTATTATTATTATAAATAATAAGAGTGTAATTAACATTGTTAATTTTTTTTTTTTTTTTTTTTTTTTTTTTCAGCTATTCGTAAATATGTTCATATGTTTTATTTATGTAACATTTTACACTGAGGTGTAGAATTTATATTAAAAAATATTCCTTTACTGTTGCTTTTTAAAATTTCTATTATATATATATATATTTTCTTATTTTTTTCTAAACATTAAAAAAAGGATGCAAATTATTTTAAAATAATTTGACCTTTTCCATACTTATAATTTATATTTTTATTTATATTGAATAAAAAAAAGTGACACGAGCTTTTTAATTAAAACGCGAATATTTTTTTAATGTATGTAATCAAAAATATAAACTAATAATACATATTTAATTTTTGGAAATTTATAAAATTTATTTTTTTCGAAATTACATTATTAGAATTGTGTATAGTTTAAGATTTTTCGTGAATAGCTATTTTAATATATATGTGCATGTTTATGCAATCAACTATTTTTTCTTTCTTTTTTTTTTTTTTTTTTTTATATTAATCATTATTTTGTTATTCATATTATTTATTTCCTTGTATTAAAACATTTGTATTTTTACATTAAAAAAGAAAAAAAAAACATAATTTAATTACAAAATAATTAAGAAGGTGATATATTCATATTACATGTTGATTTAAAATTATTTCATGGAAAAATTCATAAAAGAAGCAACATTCAATTAAAATAATAATTATTTAAATTACGGTGTATATTTAAAACAACGGTGATTAAGATTTTATTAAATTTATTAAAAAAAAAAAATTGTATGAAGATTCAAATATGGAAATTTATCTAATATACAATTATATATATCCTTAACACATATATATATAATTTTTCTTAAAACAATTTTGTAAAATTTTTAATTTATGCATATACATTTGTTTTTGAAATGCAAATATAAATAAATTTATATATTTTTTGTTTGAAACATTGAAATAAAAATAATATTCGATAAAACTCAATTTTTTATATTTTTTCTGAATTTTAGATTATTATATATAGTAAATTGATATGATTATTCATTAAAATATTAACAATGTTTTTTAAAAAAATATAGCATAACAAATAACAAAAAGAAAAAATAAAATAAAATAAAACAAAATTATTTCATAAAAATTAAACTAGTAATACCTTTCATAACATAAAAATTTTTGCAATTTAAGGATACTTAAAGATTATATCTTGTATATGAGATATTTGAAGAAATTTTCTTAAATACCATTCTTCTTTATTTCAATTTTTTTTTTTTTTCTTTTTTATCATATTTAAGAATCTTAAAGTTCTTCAAATTAAACATTCCATATTTTATTTTAAAAAAAATAAAGAAGTAATTACCTATTTTGCAAAAAAATTTTTATTAATTCAAAATGAGTACAGGTAAAGATTCATCAAAGGTTAGTGCTGATATTGAAATGAAAGAAGTATATGTGGACGAGAACAAAAAATCATCAAAAATTACTAGTACAAATAAACGTACTTTGAATATATTAACTTTTATATTAATTGGTTTGAGTTCATTAAATGTATGGAATACAGCATTAGGATTAAATATAAATTTAAAGTATAATACTTTTCAAATAACAGGTTTGGTGTGTTCTTCTATAGTGGCACTGTTCATTGATATACCAAAATTTTTGTTGCCATATTTTTTAGGAGGATTAGCAATCCTATCAGCTGGTTTTCAAATCACTCATCAACTTCTGACTGAAAACCAATTCAGTATATATTGTTTGATTACTTTTGTAATAATAGGAATAATGGCAGGATTAGCTCAAACAATTGCATTTAACATTGCATCAACTATGGAAGAAAATATGGGAGGATATATGTCTACAGGAATAGGTATATCAGGAGTTTTCATTTTTGTGATAAATTTATTGCTAGATCAGTTTGTATCTTCAGAAAAAAAATATGGAATAAATAAGGAAAAATTATTATATTTATACTTTATATGTGAAATATGTTTGGTCCTTGCGATTTTACTTTGTGTTTTTAATTTAGAGTTATCAAAAAAAAAAGTAAAAAAAGATGATGAGGAAATTTCAGAAAGAAGTTTATCATACATGGAATTAATCAAAGATAGCTATAAAGCTATTATTTCTATTTTTTTTGTAAATATGTTAACGTTGCAATTATTTCCAGGAGTTGGACATAAAAAATGGGCAAAAAGTCATGATATTTCTGATTATAATGTTACTATTATAGTTGGAATGTTTCAAGTTTTTGATTTTATTAGTAGATATCCACCTAATCTATCTCATATTAAGTATTTTAAAATTTTTACTTTTTCATTAAATAAATTATTAATAGCTAATGCTATTCGTATTATATTTATACCTTGGTTTATTTTAAATTCTTGTCTTAAAAACTCTTTTTTTTCAAATATTGTTCAACACTGTTTTTGCATGGCTTTATTTGCTTTTACAAATGGTTGGTTTAATACGGTTCCATTTTTAGTATTTGTTAACGAATTAAAAGTAGCCAAAAAACCAAAGGATATTGAAACAGTTTCTACTTTTATGGTCATAGCTATGTTTCTTGGTTTATGTGCAGGTATATGGAGTACATATATTTATGATTTGTTCCCAATTGTAATAAAAATGTAATTAAATATTACATTTTTTCTAATAATAATCAAAAGAAAAATAAAAAATGTTACATATACTAAATAGGTAAAAAAACAAAAAAAAAAAAAAAAGAAAGAAAAAAAATTATAGTAAATAATAAAATAAAATGAAAATATTTTATTTTTATTTTTTACATATCTATATCTATATATATATATATATATATACATGCATATTATGCCTTATTACTATAGTTTTAATAGACTAAATATATATATATATATATAAAGGAATTTACATATATATAAATAAATATTTGAGTTAAGTGTAATATTCATTATGAACAGTTATATATATTCGTACAATTTTTTTTTTTTTTTTTTTAACCATAAAATTGCTTTAAGATTATCATTTTATATTTTTAATTCTTTAAAAAAAATATGCGTAATAGAATTACTTATATGCTTGAGTTCTATTAATTTCTTCTATATTAGTCTTTTTTAGTAGTATTTTTTATGTATAAGATATCAAATAAAAATGAACAATGTCATTCTTTTAATACAAAAATATTCTAAAATAATTTACTCTTTGGTAGAATAACTTCTAATTTTTTAAGAATATCATATAAAAATCTAATAATTTTACGAAATCGCATTTTCATATATATATATAAATATATATATATAAATACAAAATTTGTTAAAATATATGAATGTGTATCATTTTAATTTTTAATGTAAATATTTCCATGTTATATATATATTAACTTAAAAAAGAAAATAAAAACAAAGTATTACATATTTTTTTATAGAAATCATAAAGCTTTACAAAATAATATTTTATAATTTCAAATCATATTTCTTATATTTCAATATTTTACCTTAAATTCAAATAAAAAAAAAAAAAAAAAAAGAAGATATTTATAAATTCAAAGCATAAGTATCTAACTTTTAGCATAGGTTAAATTCAAAATTTAAATGTATATATATATATATATATATATATATATATATATATATAACAATGATCAAATTATTTAAGCATACAACAATAATTAAATATAAGAAATACTTAATATTTATTGCATATGCATAAGAATATGTAAGTATTTAGATATATCTTAAATAGCTAGTAGTTATGTATTAATTTTTAATATTATGATTTAAGAATACTCATAATATTTTTATGTCAAGAAAAGTTTGCATTTTAATAATTAAAAAATATATTTAGAAAATATATAATTTTATTAAAAAAAGTTGTAAATAATAATTGTTGTTACATAAACTGACAACTAGGATAATGTTAAATAAAATGCGCTGTAAGAATAAACCTTAATTAAAATATTTGAAAAAAAGTTATAAATTTTTTTATATTACAAAAATAAGGTATTTTTAAAAAAAAAGTTTTAAGTAGAAAAATCTAGAAAAAAAATGAAAAATATTTTAGAAAAGTTCTAAAAGTTTAAAGACAATCAAATATTAATTATGAATTTATATTAAATAAAAAATAAAATATTTATTTATTTATTTTTTATTTTATATATATATATATATATATATATATATATATATATATATATATATATATATATATAAAATTATAAATTCGAGAATTAAAAATAATATAAATATATATGTATACGGGAAAATATTTTTATAAAGAATCAATATGTAATTTCTGTATTCTTTAAATAAAAGTGTATGTTTTTATCTAATAATTCTATTCTGTTATATATTTCTTGATATATGTATTTCATTATATCAATGTAATTTCTTATAATTTCATTTTTCTCTTTTGCACCGGAAGCAACTAATGACATATCTTTTTCCATTTTAGCTCTTAAGGAGGGCTCTGTTAAATCTACACCAATATCTTTAAATTTTTTATAAGACAAAATTAACGCAATACCTAAATTAGTTGGTATAAAAAGGGATTTGGAATTTTTAGTTACATAATTTCTCTTTTGAATATTTTCTATGTGTTCATGCATTGTTGCATCGGTACCTATACTGAATTTGTCCATTAATGATAATAAATTTGATTCTGATAAAAATTTTGGTGGTTGAGTTATACCTTCTTCTATTAACAAACTATACGGAAAAAATTCATCATTAATATGAAATGTAGGCAAAATTTTGTCATTCCATTTCTCATATGTATAAATTTCTAAATAATTTTTTTTTATTATTTTTAGTCCTTTGCAAAAAAATTGTTCATCTCCTATTCTTACAATAACTTTACTATTAAACCCTATTGCATCATCACTGCACACAGCTAAAAAATGTCTGCAAATAAATTCATATAATATCCATTCTTTTTCATCTATTTTATCTGATCTATTCATATTTTTAACTGGGTGTATTGGAGGATGTGCTTTGTCATTTAATTTTCCTTTTCTAGGCTCTTTAAAGTTATTATTTTTAGTTAACTTACTAGCATACCACCCAAAAAGGTTGTTTTTACTTAATTCATTAACTATTTTTTGTAAATCCATACTATCAGTAAAATAATTCGTTTCTGTTCTTGGATAGCTAATATATCCTTTATTGTATAATTTTTCTGCAATATTCATACATTCTTTCGAAGAAATATGAAAAAACTTTGAAACTTGTTTAGTCATTTGTAAAGTATTTAATGGAAGAGGGCGATATTTTTTTGTTTCTTTTTCATAAATATTAGTGACTTTACATAGAGGATTTTTTAACAGCTTTTCATATATAAGAACGACATACAAATGGTCAAATAATTTAATTCTAGACCATGTGAAATCTATAATATTATCACTCTTTATATTTTTTTCTTTTTTTTTCCTTTTTTTTTTGTTGTTTGTGATACTATTATCATCATCAATATTATCATCTCTATCATATAAGTATTGCATTTTAATATACCAATAATATTCATTTTTAAAATTTTTTATATCTAAATATCTATTAACCACAAAACCTAATGTAGGAAACTGACAAGGCCCATAACTAATAATATTTGTTTCATTTTTTACTAATTCTATATATCTAATAGTCATAAATCTTGTAAAAATAGAGCCCATTCTTAAGTCTATTTCTCTCCTTACATCTACACTATAAGCTAAATTTCTATTTGGCTCTTTTAAATTATTGATAGCATAAATAATATCTTTTTCAGTAACCGCAGAAAATTGTGCTCTTTGGATTTTTAATTTCTTATTTGTTTTATAGCAGGTATTTATTACTTCAAAACAAATATGCTCTCCTTCTCTATCACAATCTAACCACAAAACCAGCATATGACAATCCTTTGAATATTTTTTCAAATTATTTTCTATTGCTTTTTTATCATTTTCAACATATGTAATAATTTTCGCATCAAATAATTCTTGAGGGTCTGTGTTACTCCAGTTCTTATATTTATCCTCAAACTTTTGTTCTGTTAAATGACCAGTAACAGAAGTTACATTCATTAACCAAATATCATCTTTTATTTTATATTCAAATGTAAAAACTGGATTATATTTACTATAACTTTTTTTTTTATGTTGCTTTCCTTTGCTTAATATATCAGCTATAGATGAAGCAACAGAAGGTTTTTCAGCCACATTTAAAACTTTTATGCGTGCCATAAAAAAAATGTACTTTTTTTTTTTTTTTTTTTTTTTTCAAATAATACTATTATTTATATCCATAATTATAAAAAAAAAAATTAATATATTAAAAAGAAAATTTTAAATACACATTAATAAAAATTTTTTAATATAGAGATCTTTTTTGTACACATTAGCTAAAAAAAAAAAAAAGAAAAATTATTCTGTTTAAAATATGCAAATATATATAACTTCAAGAAAACATATGTTTTAATTATATTCTTAAATTTTAAAAAATAAATTCTTTCATAATAATTCTTGTACTATATCTTCAAAAAATAACAAAAATTTTATGTATTTACGCAATAAATTTAAAGGAAAAATAATTTTAAAAAAAATTTTATATTTTTGAGCAAATACTATTTAAAGGAAACAATATATTAATTAGGAATTATTAAAAAAGTTTTTTAAATTTAAGTGAAATTTAAAAGTTAATATAGATGATTTTGTTTAGTTATCCATTTATTACATATCTAACTATACAAAGAAAAACAAAAAATTTTAAAAAAAATTGGAGATTAATTTTTTAATATAAATTTAGATATTTCATACAATATCTGTGTAAATTTTATGGATGTATAAAACTAAATTGTAAAATTTGTTATATCAAAAATTTATTGAATAAATTTAGATATAATTATGTATTACTATTGCAATAATTTCTGTTAATATTTTTTGTATTTATTTATTATGTAAATGAAGATATATGATGTATTATACTTTTAAAAAGAAATTCATTTTCATACATAGAAAAGTGTTATGCTATTTAAGACTTCAAATGCCAAACTTAATCTGCCTTAAATTTATATAATATGTTAATAATTTTAAATTAAGTTTTTTAAACACAATTAAAATCTATTTTTTCCTTAATGTGTAAAATTTAAAAAGAGAAACTTTAAAGACAAGTAAAATGTCAATAAATTTTTAAAAGGATAATACTGTATATATATATATATATATATATTAAAATAAAAAAAAAAAATTATCTTCATTTTTTTAATTTTAGAATCAAACAATTGTAATTAAGGAGAACTTTCATAATTTTTTATTATCTTAGATACACTCTTAAGTTGGAACATAACTTAAAATGTAGACGTGAAAAACTATTTTATATTTTCTCCTTAAAAATAAAAAAATGATAAATAGGAACACAAAATAGGAAAATATTTATTTTTATATCAATTGTATGATAATTTTTAATAATAATTTACCGATAATATTAAAAAATCCTAGAAACCAAAAAAAAAAAAAAAAATAAAAAAATAAAATAAAATATGTAAAATCATCTATTATTTGCATATTTTTTAAAAATAATTTAATTCTATATTATCTTTTTTATTAATAATTTATGTTTTTTTTTTTTATTTTTTTAAAAATAAATATATTTATATATATATATTTAATTTTGTTGAAAGTTATTTAAATAAACTAGAAGGTACATAAATTCTAATAATTTACAATTTTTTTATATATATTAAAATAAATGAAATTCATAAAAAGAAATAAAGAAAAATATAATTATATGAAGTTGTTCTGAAAATAAAATATAGAAAATTTGTAATCTTTTTTTTTAAGATAAATTTAAAAATATATTTATTATTTTTGTCTATACGTTTTTAACTTTATATAAAATATAAAAAAAAATAAGAATAGTATTAATTAATGAATAAAGAATATAAAAACATTAAAAAAAAATTAATAAAATATTAAATATACAAATAAAAATATATATAAGTATATATTCTACCAAAAGCTTATAACAATAATAAAAGTAAGAAATAATGTTTGTTTAAATGAAAATTTTTTTTATTGTATCTATGTTAATTTAAATATTTTTATTTTAAAGATATAAAAAAAGTATATCTGATCTATAAAAACATAATTTTTTTTAATTACCCTTTATTTACCTTATTGTTAAAAGTAATGAATATACAAAATAAACCTCAAATAATCGAACATATAAATTATTCTGTTGATAATACTATTTATGATGTGAAATGGATTGATGAAAAATCTAAAATTGTAGCTGTTGGTGAACTTTTAGATAAAAAAGGTTATATAAATATATATAATTTAAATAAAGGAAAATTCACATGTGATTCTAGCAACAAAACAAATAATGGAATAAAAACAGTTACTCCTTTTTATTCTTATACTGGGAATTATACTTTAGCATGTGGTTAATTTTAAAAATACATTTATGTTTATTTTTTTTTTTTTCCTGTTTTTTTAATCTATAATAAACACCATTTTAATTTGTTTAAATAAAATTTTAGGTTCTTTTGATGGAAGTATATTGCTTTATGATATTCATAATTTGTCTAAAGAATATTATAAAATAAAAAAACATAATAAATTAATAAATAAAATAGATTGCAAAAGTTATAAAAATAATAATATTATAGTAACTGCAAGCAGGGATGGTTCAGTGAAAATTTTTGACATACGAACATATCAAGACGTAAAAAAAAAAAAAAAAAAAAGAAAAAATAAATTCAGAATGAAGAAGTTTACTATATAGAATTTTTTATATATAATTTTTTTTAATTTTTATTTTTATATTATTATTATATGTTTTTAATTTAATACTAAGGTGGTAAGTTTAGAACCTCCGAAAAATTCAGCATATATTCCTGATTGTTGGTGTGTTGCAACAGGTTTTAAAATATATATGTTTTCTTTTTATTTTTTCTTTTCTTATTTATGTTAAATTATTTTTCTATAATTTCTGTTTTACTTTATTTTATTTTACATTTTTTATTTTAGGCAATAATTATATAGAAGAAAATTCTTGTGGAATTGGAGAAGAAAATTTTAATATCTGTGCTGGATATGATAATGGTGATATAAAATTTTTTGACTTAAAAATGATGAATCTTGAACATGAGGTATTTAATAAAGGAAAAAAGAAATTGATATATATATATATATATATATGAACTATATGTGATATAATTCATTTTTTTTTAAGTGGAATTTTTTGAAATTTTTTCTAATATTGAAATTTTTTGTATAATTTTACTTAGTTATATATTTATAAAGCATTATTATAATAATATTTGTTTTTTAAGGTTAATGTTAACAATGGTGTTTGTTCTATTAGTTATGATAGAAAAGAAACAAAAAAAAATAAATTGATTTGTTCAACCTTAGAAGGAAATATTTACCTTTTTAATTTAGATGTGTATAGTGAAGATGCTGGATACTCTTACAGAAAAGATAAAATAATTTCAGGTTTGAATATTAAAAAAGAATTAAAATAAACAATAAGTCAAAAAATATCATATTAATAAAAAAGAGCTTATATCAATAAGATAAATGTCTATTTTATTAAAAATAAATTCTAAAAAAAAAAAAAGCAATATTGAAAAATTGTAAAAAAAAAAAAAAAAATAATAAGTATTAATAAAACAAATGTAAAAAAGAATAATTCTAAAAATCTATTTTGTTTTTAAAGGAACTTGCTGGGGTACTCCATTTCTGCCACAAAATCGTGATATTTTCGCTTTACTAGGAGGTGATGGAAATGTAAAAAAAAAAAAAAAAATAAAATAAAATAAAATAAAATAAAAATAATAAAATATTTAATAATAATAAAGTAGCTATTATATAAGAGTATAATTAAATAATAATTGTTATATAATTAAAAAATATAAACCTTTTAAATTATTTTGAAAATATATTAAGGAATTTATTTTAACATATATATATATATATATTTAAATTTTTGCTATAAAAAAATGCGTAAATTTAAAAAATTTAATTCATGTTTATATAAAATGTTTCAAAAATATGAAAAAATAATTTTATAAAAATAATAATACATGTATTTTATAATTACTATTTCTAATTATTTTAGTTAATTTTGTATAAATATATATATCCTGAAAAAAATCATGTTTTTGATGAAACAAAAGGATGTAAAAGAGGAATAATTGGAGAATTAGATAAATTGAATTACCTAAATATATCAACTCAACCAATAATCTCATTTGACTGGAATAGACAGAAACTAGGTCTTTGTGCTTTAGCTTCATTAGATCAAACAATTAAAGTTTATATAATTACTAAACTAAATTTATATTAATATATATGTTAAAAATAAAAAATTTAAATAATAGAGTTAATAGTATTTCATAAATAATAATATATATGAAGAATAAATTTCTTTTCTTTTTTTTTTTAATTCTTAATTATATATATATATATATATATATATATATATATATATATATATATAACCTCGTATGTCACAATGAAAAAAAAAAAAAAAAAAAAATATACTATATTTTTGAAAAATATTCAGTTATTTTTTTTTGATTAAATTTATCGTCATTTAAACTCATAATGTGAAAACGCAAATTTAAGAGATTTTCATGGAGTATTTCATGCTTTACTGTATCATTTAAATTGTTATAGTTGATAAAATTCAAAATTATATCAATGCTATTAATTAATAAATTTTTATCAAACTGAATATTGTCATTATTTAAGTTTAAAAAATTAGAGATAGCATTATTTTGTCTATAAATATTACTTGCATTTTCATTAAAGTAGAAATTACTATAATTATTTATTTGATCATTATTATTAAATGGGTTTAAATAATTTGAATATTTTTTATTATATTCGTAACAAGATGTGTCTTCATATAATTTCCTTTTTTTTTTATCATTACCTTCACTGTTTTCAAACATCATTAAACTCTTATTTATTCAAAGTTTTTTTTTTTTTTTTTTTTTTTTATGTTAATCTTTAATAATTTTAAAAGTCATTCCACTTAAAAAAAAATTTATGTTTATTTTTACATTTAAAATATTACTCTGATTATTGTATAAAACTTATATACATTTTTAAGTTTTAAAATCTTAATATTTATATACCTTTTTTTTATTATCTTTATTTAAAAATTGAAAACACTATTTAAATATATTAATTAAAATAAATCATCATGCATTTTTTAAAATGGTTAATTTTAAATTATATTTACTTCTATATTAGCTTTATGTTTTTCTTATAAAAATTTAAGTTTATTTTGTTATTTTTTATAAAACATATATTTTGTTTTACTTTTCTTTTTTTTTTAAAATTATAATTTTAAGAATAAATAATTTTTTATTGACTTTTCAATTAATATTAGTTATTTTTAATATTTAATATTCAATTTATTTTATTTCTTTTTTTTTTTTTTTTTCTTGTATATAACAAAAAAAAAAAAAAAAAAAAAAAAAA